AAGATAGAGAGACGGTTTCAAATAGACCCTCAGGTCAAGTAATTGTTCTTATTATGCAACACTATTGCTGACTTCATAGTTAATCTTGTATTAAAAAAAGAGAATCAAATATACTCTCCATTGATTTTTCTTGTTTTCTATTTCCAAACAGAGTGATAAAGAGGGCTAATGTCATGCTGAGTGATTTTCCCCACATGGCCAACTGAGGCGAAGCTAGCAAAAGCTGTAGTATAAGTAATGGACTGGGCTATCAAAGAAACATACTTATCTGGACGGGGTGATCAATAAGACCTATGGCCTAGGCTGGTGACTTCCATTGCACTTTGGAAGGGTGGAAGCCTAAGGTCGGCCCAAGTGGGCGTTGGTCCCATTCAGGTGTTTGTTTGGAATGAATTTTCTTTGCAAATAGAAGTTTGAATAGACTATTGAGTCTAGGGATGTTAAATGAGTTTGGTTGAATTTCGAATCTTACCAATATTAATCTTAAAGATTTTGGTCACATCCAAGAGTTTTTGTTAGGTATGAATTTTTGTGCAAATAGAATTCTGAACAGACTATTGAGTCGACAGTTGTTAAAAGGGTTGGGTTGAATTTGAGTAGGATTGTTAAATGAAATGGGTTGAATTTCGAACCCAAGTTCAACCCCTACCAATATTAACCTTAAAGATTTTGGTCCCATATGGTTGTTAGGTATGAATTTCTATGCAAATAGAATTCTGAATAGACTAGTGAGTCTTAGGGACGTTAAATGGGTTGGGTTGAATTTGAGTATGATTAGAAGTGTCAAATGAACGTGAATATCAACTAGAGGTGTTAACAGGTGGGTCGGATTGAATTAGAGCATAGTTGAGAATTGAGATAATAAATGGGCCATAAGGTCCCATAATAAATTTCAAGAGTTTGTTGGTATGAATTTCACCTATAAAATAGAATATGATTAGGAGTGTTACATGGGTGAATTGGTTTGAATTTGAGTATGTCAAAACAAGTTGAGTTAATAATTGATTCACCCAAGTAATTGATCTCTCCAATCATTATCATGGCTAAAAATTGGGTCATAACATAACTCGTTTAATTCTTACTATATTTTAATTTCTTAATTTGTTTTCTTATACTTTGTTCGAGTACCTACTAGAAAAATCTTCCTTATATTATGACTTATAACATATTAAATAAAAAATATTTTTTTAAAAAATATTTAGATAGTTTCTCGAGTCTATCTGGGCTGAATATTAGCGCAATTTTAAAATGAACTAAATTAAGCTGGGTCAAAATGGACCGAGTTAATTAAATGAATAGATCGTAAATTCACTCAAATCTAAACAAACTGAATATATCATGATTTTATGGGTTGATTTTGTCATGCTCTATTTTACTTTTGTCAAATTTTGTTCGCCTGTAAGATTGTGTTAAGGCTTAAGTTCTCTATGGCACCTTGAAGTTGTCCGCTTAATTTACTTAGACACCTCAACTAGAACGTATACCTATTGAACACCTCTACCCTCTCGAATTTGAACCACTTAAACACTTTATGCAGACGTGACACAAAAAGTGTAATTCATACCTTGGTGTGCACGTGAAACCAATATTTTTACATTCTCTCTTTTCCTTTTCAATTTTTTCTCATTATTTGTTTTTTAAAAATAACAATCGTTGTCTCTTTGCAGATGCAGAGCTGCTCCTGTCATTTTTTTTCACACGACTTGTTGTAACCACTTCTTCACCACAATCCAATTTGTTTTTTTACAAATTTTTTTCTTTTTTAAAAATAAAAATAAAAATTCTTATCATTGTACTATTAATTTTGCAGATGTAGAACTACTCCCGTTATTTTTTTCTGAAAAAAAAATGGAGATTACCATCCACAGTTTTTTGTCAAAAAAAATGGAGATTATTATCTACGTCTTCTTTGTCGAAAAAATAGAGACCACCATCCACATCTACTTTGCCTGAAAAAATAGAGATCATTATTCAAATATTTTCTCTCTCTTCACCTCTCCCCCACGTCCCTTCTTCCCCATAAATCGAAGCACAAATAGAAAAAAAAAATCATAATCAAAATAAATAAAGAAAGAATATATCTTTTAAGAAAACACTATTAATTTAAATGTGAATAAGAAAGAAGGCATATAGAGAAATAAAAATGATAAAATCCATACATAATATGGAGAATTAACAATGGTGAACAAGAGTGAGCGTGTATAATTTCTATTTATTTAGTTGAAAGTCTTTTTTTTTTTTAGATTTGAACTTGTTTATATGCAAAATTCATTTTTATAATGATTTTAAATTAAAATGGCACATGTCTTCTTTGCCACATCATATACATGTGTATTACACACTTCCTCTTTTAACTAAGGGTCATGAAAATGTTCAATACGTATTTATTTTTCACCATTAAAGTGACTAATATGCGGATAACTTTAAGAGGTCAGACTTAAGCCTTTTGTTAATTTGAGATTTACTCTTATTTACTAATTGAGCAATTAGTATAGTAACGACTTAATGGTTATCTTATCTATCATTTTGGATGATTTGCATAGAAAATATAGACTATGAAACATTGTACGTGATTTGCCAAGAATACACGAATATAATTTATTTAAAAGAGTTCTCATATTTAACGTAATTATCTTGAATATATTTATATTCACATTATTAACATGAAAGAGATATTGATTGACCTAGCTAACCAACTTATTTTCCTCTTGAAAGTCATCACTGTGTTTTATTTGCTTTTTTTATTTTATTTCACGTGATATTATTTCTTTATGGGAAAATTATGAATCCATCCAAAAAGATTAACGTATTTCAATGCATTTTATTCTATCCTTAATGAGAAGCTTTGATAGATATACAAATTTTATTTCTTCTTCTTTTTAAACTTCATGACAAATCAATTCCGTAACTGAAACAAAAGGAGTATGATAACTTAAAAATGGATTTAAACGTTAGAAATTTTAGTGTTTATCTAATTGTATCATATAATCAGAGGCGGAGCCAGGATTTCAGACTTGTGGGTTCTAAATTTAAAAAAAAATAACGATCTTAAAAATCACAAAACACAAATTATGTTAATGAGATGTTTGTCATGTTTGAAAACATTACCTTAGATATTGTTATTCTAAAAACTTATTTTAATAATATGAAGATTTGAGTAATTTAATTTAAAGTTCTAAAATATTGTTAATGAAAGATGAATAATTTTTTAAATATAATTCTTGAATATTTTCCCCCAAACACCTCCACCCCCAGGGGCAGACCCACAAGAAGTTACAAGCAGAGGCGGAGCCAGGATTTCAGACTTGTGGGTTCTAAATTTAAAAAAAAATAACGATCTTAAAAATCACAAAACACAAATTATGTTAATGAGATGTTTGTCATGTTTGAAATCATTACCTTTTAATAATATGAAGATTTGAGTAATTTAATTTAAAGTTCTAAAATATTGTTAATGAAAGATGAATAATTTTTTAAATATAATTCTTGAATATTTTTATTATAATATAAAATACTATTTTAAGTGAGAAAAAAATATTTAATTCACCATTAATATTTTCGCACCTAAAATATATATTTTACTAGTTTCATTGTGACCTTGAACTATTACTACCTTCAAAAGTTATAATGTTGAAAAGCAAATAACAATTATTCACTATAATCAATTATCAATATGTGGGATAACCTTAGAAAATATTAAAAATTGATTTTTGAATAGATAATTCTACGGTGTAAAAGCAAACAAATAAAAAAAATGAAAAAGGAGAAGTGAGAGTACATAGTACATATCGAAGGCAGAGGTCGGATGATAGCAATCAGATCAACAATAAAAGTTAGAATCCTAACTTTTGAAAATAAATTTGGGCTAAAATTTTTGAATAGAAATCAATGAAATTATATTTGGGTTAAATTTTTTGAATATCTGAGTAGAAATCAATAGTTAGCTATTGTTTTAAAGTATGATCCAAACACTTTTTTTTATTATCATTAACCGTTTTTCTGTTTTTTTTTTTATATATATAAATTATCATTTGCCAATTTTCTACTTTTTATAAAAACAAAAATCCAATGTTTTTATCTGAAATTAATTCCAAAAACTTAGTGCCGTGAGCAGGTTTCGAACCCATGATCATTAACCGTTTTTCTGTTTTTTTTTTTTTATATATGTATAAATTATCATTTGCCAATTTTCTATACCGGTTTTCTATTGTTTTTAAAAAAATATATAAATTATCATTTGCCAATTTTCTATTTTTTATAAAAACAAAAATCCAATGCTTTTATCTGAAATTAATTCCAAAAACTTGGTGCCGTGAGCAGGTTTCAAACCCATGGCGCGTGTATTGAATGATTTCACTGGGTGCGGGGAGACCACTGGGCCACCCGACTCATTGTGTTAGAGGATTCACAGGAAATTTATATGTACGTTTTATTTGATAAAATCTACGGAAAAGTCAGTGGGTTCTCCCGAAACCCCTTCCGCTACAGTAGCTTCACCCCTGCATATAATCGACAAGTGCCAATTATTGGGTACCAATTTACAACATTTTCTTATCATTTTACTTTATGAATAGTGATCGCAATTATTCTAAGTACGTCTACTATCTTGTCAGATAAATAGTATGGTAAAGCAAAGAAACTTGTTTTGTGGACGTAATTTATCATTAACGCCGACAATATTAATAAGCATTGAAAATGTTGAGCTAACCTAAGTATATTAACTATACAAGCAAACGAGGGTTGAAGTTTCAAAAAGAAAAATCAAAGCTCATACCTAATTGACACACACATAACATGTAGCTGGAGGCCATAGCTGCCGCGTGGAACCAAAATTTGAACTTTATAGGTTCTAAATTTTAGGATAACAACCCTCGGGTATTGGTAATTGATTTTTGAAGGGTAATTAGGACAAAAATAATTTAGTTGCGCACTGAATAAACAGTACCAAGTTAAATGGTTATGAGGTAATGAGAAGCAATATAACATTATAAATAAGAGCTTCCGTCACATAATTTATAGCAAACTCACTAAAAAAAGTATAGGAGAGATGGAATGGGAATGGAGTTATCTGTGTTTTTCTTCAATCATCTTATTACCAGTTTTGATCCTATTTTTTTCTCAGAAAAAGACTACAAAATGTTCTTACAAATTACCTCCAGGACCACCTGGATTACCATTTTTTGGTAACATGTTTGAACTAGGAACAGAGCCCTACAAAAGAATGGCAGCTCTAAAACAGAAATATGGCCCTGTATTGTGGTTAAAACTTGGCACCTCAACCAACATTATGGTTGTTCAAACAGCTCCGGCTGCTGCAGAATTATTTAAGAACCATGATACTTCCTTTGCGGATCGATTCATACCTGATGTAAATCAGGCACATAGTTACTATCAAGGGTCCTTGGCCATAGGCCGATATGGCTCATTTTGGCGCTTTCAGAGACGGATATGTACTGTGGAAATGTTTGTACACAAAAGAATCAGTGAAACAGTGCCAGTAAGGCGAAGATGTGTGGATAATATGTTAAAATGGATAGAGAAAGAAGCGAATTCAGCTGAAAAAGGAAGTGGGATTGAGGTAACACGTTTTGTGTTCCTAGCATCGTTTAATATGCTAGGGAATTTGATTCTGTCGAAAGACTTGGCTGATCCAGAATCCGAGGAAGCCTCGGATTTCTTCAATGCCATGAAGAGAATCATGGAGTGGTCAGGTATTGCTAATGTTTCTGACATATTTCCATTTCTTAGAAAGTTTGATTTTCAAAAATTGAGGAAGAAGATGGCACGAGACATGGGGAAGGCCATTGAGATCATGTCTATGTTTCTCAAGGAACGCGAGGAAGAGCGAAAGAAGGGTGCGGAGAAGGGGAAAGATTTCTTGGATGTGTTGCTTGAATTTGAAGGCACTGGAAAAGATGAGCCAGCTAAATTATCAGAACATGAGATCAAAGTATTAATAGTGGTAAGGTTTTTTAAAAAAAATCTCTACACTTATCTTTTCAACATCAATGATTTTCTTTTCAATTAGTTGTATCTGGAGCAGAAAAATGTGTTCTGCTTAGGGAATATTTTATGCTCCTCAGGCCTCAGTCTTCACTCAACAATCTTCATTCCTTGTCTTTTACTACTATTGCTCACTTTAATTATGAGGACTAATTTGATTGAAAAGTTAATGTAAGTTCTTTTGAGATCTTTACACAAATAGCCGGCTGGGTTCACTGTTTCACTTTTCCTATCTGGTATACATATACTATACACTGATTATATACGGTTCTGCATCAGGAAATGTTTTTGGCCGGTTCAGAGACGACGAGCAGCAGCGTAGAATGGGCACTAACAGAGCTCTTGCGCCATCCAGAAGCAATGGACAAAGTGAAAACAGAGATATCAAAAGTAATAGGACCAAACAGCAAGTTTGAAGAAAGTGACATCGAAAACCTTCCTTATATGCAAGCTGTAATCAAAGAATCGCTTCGTTTACATCCTCCTCTGCCTTTCTTGCTCCCAAGAGAGACAATTCAAGACACAAAGTTCATGGGGTACGACATACCAAAAGGAACTCGAGTTCTGGTGAACACCTGGGCTATTGGAAGAGATCCTGAATGTTGGGACGACCCTATGAGTTTCAAGCCCGAGAGGTTTCTTGGCTCAAAAATAGACGTGAAGGGTCAGCATTATGAGCTAATTCCATTTGGTGCAGGACGGAGGATGTGTGTTGGCTTGCCTTTAGGCCATCGAATGATGCATTTTGCTCTGGGATCATTGCTTCATGAATTCGATTGGGAGCTTCCTAATGGTGTCTCTCCTAAATCTATCAATATGGATGAAAGCATGGGTGCAACAGCCAGAAAACGTGACTCTTTGAAAGTAATACCAAAAAAGGCTTTAGAACTCATCAATCTTTTCGAGCCAACAAGTATGTCTTTATAATTATGTATGCATTTTTTTTGCATATGTTCCTTATAATAAGTATTTGCAATCTTAGTAGCTCAGTTGGTTGACCACCTAAAATTTAACCTTGTTGGTGAATGTTCGATTCCCCACCCTACCCCATTTTAAAAAAATGTATTTGTAATGCTAACTGGAGTTTCTTTAGTACAATATTTATAGTATGTATCTAGATCTTTGTCAACAAGATTGTAATTTGGAGAAATTCATGTGTGATAAATGTAATACTTAAAATCAATTTTAGCTTGAATAGTCTTTACGAAGTTGCTTATGAATCAAACTTTGAATGTCTTTTTGAAGTCTCGCATGCTTTTTTGATGGTTAGGTGTGTCACACCCCTTTTTCGCACACGGTTGCGGAAGGGTTTTTCCAATTAAAGTGACGCTATTGATTAAGAGATTATTTTATTTTCGTTTTAGAGTCGCCACTTGGAATTGAGTTATGGTGTTCCAAGTCACCTTTTGTTTAATCCTTAATCAAAAGGAAATGACTCTTTATATGGTTTGCGAACTAGAAATTCGGGTAAGGAATTCTGTTGACCGAGGGGAAGGTATTAGGCATCCCTCGAGTCCCGTGGTTCTAGCACGGTCGCTTTTATTGACTTCTACCTACTTTAAATCATTTGTGGATATATTATTTTCAGGTCATGACTTGTTTGCATTTTTATTGTTGAACTTTTATTTGGTCTCAAATCGGATGCATAACTGCATTCTCGACTTTTGACATATAAATACCTTATGAACATAATTGTTTTCTTCTCTCGAGTGCATCACCTAATTTTATCTATAAGTGATCTTATTTTAAATTAATGAAAGTTATTATATTTTTGGACAAGGTGCGTCACCGCATCCTTGAGTTTTTTTTTAATGTTTCAAAAAAGATGTGTAACCACATTTTTAATTGAAACAAATATTATTTTTTATATGCCTAAAACCCATCTAATGTTATAAGAAAATATTAAATAAAAT